CTCCTGGCAGAGCTCTGGAGAGCATTTTCTTTGCTCAGGTTGCCCAACCTCTGTGACACGTCACTTCCTGAGTGGACTTGAGAGCTGACCATCTTCTCTTGCTCCATCTCTGTGAGTGCAGAGGATCCATAACCTTTACTTAGTGAAGCCCACACTGTGTCTGTATCATTCACAAGGGACAGTTCTGGTGGATGCCTGGCCAGTCTCCTCTTCTCACCTTGGGTCTTGTTAAACCTCCAGAGTGGTAAATATGGATGGTAAACACATTGTCGCAGGAATTCCCCCGAGGGGACTTGCACAGTGTTGGAAAAGAGCAGAATGAGGGGCCCTGGGAAAGATAAGTTCTGGTTCTGACTTCTCACGTGGGCCAGGCTTGAGGCTCCCCAGGGTCACATTCTAAAGTGACCTCAATTTTAGAGGAGGCTGAGGAGGGATGCTGCCTTTGCCAGACGCAGGAGTTGAGATTGATGGGCAAGAAAGTAAGGGGATGGGGAGAGAATGTTTCCATGGAAACAGGGAAGATTTGGGGTAGGGTAGCTACATTCTGTATATGTGATTGTGTGTATGTTTTTGCATATGTGTGTTTGGATGTGTTGTGTGCCTGAGTGTATATGTGTTTGTGTGTGCACACGTGCGTGAGAAAGAGAGAGAGAGAGAAAGAGAGAGCAACCAGGACATCATTCATATTGTATTGTTACAAGAAAATATCTCTACAGACATGCCAACTTTCCAATCTGATGGAGGCAATTGCTCAATATGGGTTCTTTCTTCCTGGAGTCTCTAGTTTGTATCAAGTTGACAAAAACTTAGTAGGCATTGTCTGTCTGCTGTTATGTTTCTAGTCTTTTCTTATTTTCTTCTTCCTTTCCAGAGGCCTTATATTAGTTATTTTTCTCATTATTACTGTAACAAAATATCTTTTCTTGATTGTAAATGGATATGGAGGGGCTCAGGCCACCATGTGTGATGCCATGCCTGGGTAGATGGCCCTGGGTTCTATAAGAAAGCAGGCTGAGCAAGCCATGTAGAGCAACCCAGTAAGCACTGTTCCCCGTGGCCTCTGCTTCAGCTTCTGCCTCCAGGTTGCTGCTGAATTCCTGCAGGCTTCCTTCAAAACGGACTGTGACGTGGAGGCCAAATTAAACCTTTCCTCCCAGCAAGCTGGCTTTGGTCAGTATCTTATCACAGCAACACGAAACAGGCTAGGATGGATGGATGGATGGATGGATGGATGGATGGATGGATGGATAGATGTATGGATGGACGGATGATGGATGGATGGGCCAGACAGAGAGATGGATCTGCTTATCACATCCCTTGACTGCCACACAAGGTGCTTTTTCCCTACTTGCACTTGACCAACACTCTTAGCTCATGATTCAGTTTCTTCCTGTATTTTGGTCCCCTTCCCTCATCACCTCTTTTTATTTTTTTTTCCTAGACAGGATTTCTCTGTGTAGCTCTGACTGTCCTGGAACTCTCTCTGTAGACCAGGCTGGTCTTGAATTTAGAGAGATCTGCCTCCCTTCTCTGTCAAGTGTTGGGATTAAAGGCTTGTGCTTCTATTGCCTGACTCATTTCATAATTTTTAAAAAATTGTTTTTATTGGGTTATATATTTTTCTCCACTCCCCTCCCTTCCTCTCCCCTTCTGCCCTCTCCCATGATCTCCACGCTCCCAATTTACTCAGGAGATCTTGTATTTTTCTACTACCCATGTAGATTAGGTCCATGTATGTCCCTCTTAAGGTCCTCATTGGAGTCTAGGTTCTCCAGGATTATGAATTGTAAGCTGTTTTTTCTTTGTTTTATGTCTAAAAGTCACTTTTGAGTGAGTACATAATATATTTGTCTTTTTGTGTCTGGGTTACCTCACTCAATATGTTCTCTAGATCCATCCATTTGCTGCAAATTTCAAGATGTCATTTTTTTCCCTCTGTGTAGTATTCCATTCTGTAAATGTACCACATTTTCTTTATCCATTCCTCAGTTCAGGAGCATTTAGGTTGTTTCCAGATTCTGGCTATTACAAATAATGCTGCTATAAACATAGTTGAGTTGAAAAAAACACTTCGTGGTTTTTAAGTAGATTATTTTGCTACCATTCTACAGTATTTTCCTCCCCGTAGGCCCCAGATGAGAAGCCACGTTAGAGAAGACCTGCACGACCACCCTACATCACTCTTCGCTGGTTTGGCTCCTTGTGACAGGAAGTAAACACCACGAGGGCAGCCACTCCACCTTTTTGTTTATACCTGGGCTCGGCACTTACTAGGCTCTTAGTAAATATATGTTCAATACTGAAGGAATTGCTTAGAGAGACTTCACAATTCTGAGTGGGCTTGGAATCGTTAATCATCCCCCTTTCATTATTAATTGCTATGGTGAGTTCTGATACAGGATGAAGAGTGTCTGTCCTTGTCAAAAACAATTCCAGGGGCTGGAGAGATGGCTCAGTGCTTAAGTCGTTGCTCTTCCCAGCACCCACATCGAGGCTCACAGCCATCCTTAACTCCAGTTTCAGGGAAGCTGATACCCTCCTCTTGCCTCTGCGTGGCACTGGGCATGCACATGGTGCACCGACATGCATGCAGTCAAGTGACCCATACACCTGGAATAAATGAATGAATAAATAGAACTAATGTAAAAAAGATTGGGTGCTTCTCTTGCAGAGGACCTGAGCTCAGTTCCCAGCACCCACCCCAGGTGGCTCAGAACCACTTGACCTCCAGCTTTAGGGAATCTGCACCCTTTTCTGGGTTCCATGGATGCCTGCATACACACGCACACACCCACATACAGATGCACAAATTCAAAATGATAATAATAATAAATATTGTTTAAAAAAACACAGGCCAGAAACTGTTTCGAAAGACGGCTCAGCAGTTAAAGGCTCCTGCTGCTCTTCCTCAGGGCCAGGTTTGGTTCCCAGCCATTATAAGCAGCTCACAACCATCTATAACTCTAGCTCCAGGGGATCCTCTGACTTCTTCCAGCTTCTGTGGGCAGCAGACTCACACACAGTACACAGACAAACATACGTATAAGCCCATACATCACATGAAATAAGAATTTTAATTACAAGAATAAGCTCATACCAGGGTCACCTGGCAGTATCATAGCTGTATTCTCAGGACTCCCGTGATGCTCTGGCTCCAGAATCTGTCTCCCCATCCCATCCCCTACACGCGGTACCAGCTGCTCATTTGTCATGTGTCTGAGCACTGACCCACTTCAGTTTGACATGGGGAAGAAGTTGAAGAATTTAAGAAAAGGTAGAGGAAGGATTTGAAAAATAAAGGTAAGTGAGTGGAATAACTCTTGAGTAAACAAAAGCCAGCACCCTGAGTTCTACCCCTGAAACCCAAGGAAAGGATGAGGAGAGGGCCGATTTTATAGCATCGCTCTCTGAGCTCCACATTTGTGCCATGGCATGCCATACGTGCATATATAGGTGTGTGTGCACACTGTTACACACACACACACACACACACACACACTGACCTCCACATTTGCGCTATGGCATGCCCACACATGCATGCATATGTAGGTGTGTGTGCACACCATTACACACACACACACACACACTGACCTCCACACTTGTGCTATGGCATGCCCACACGTGCATGCATATGTAGGTGTGCGCACACCATTATACACACACACACACATCTCCATACTTGTGCCATGGCATTCCTAAACACACATATGTCGGTGTGTTTGCACACCACTACACACACTCACACTAACCTCCACACTTGTGCCATGGCATCCCCACATATGCATATATAGGTTATGTGCACACCATTGCACATATACACAATTTTTTTTTAGGACAAGATTCAAAGGCGAATCAGATAGGCTGTGGATGATCTTTGCTGAGGTCTGGAGATACGACTGTTTGTAGATGAAGGAGGCCATGAGTGGGAGGCAGGACCTGTAGCTGCCACCAATTCTTCTCCTTTTCGGCCCCCAGGTTAGTAATTCTGTGGCCTTGGAGACCTGGAACCACAGGGCTCACATAGGAGTCAGAGAAAGTCTGTTCTAGAGTTCAGGGAGAAGAAACATGCCGGGCGAGGTTGGGGGGCAGGGAATGACCAGACCCTGTCTCACAAGAAATTCCCCCAAGTGTTCAAAATTGCATGGGGCCGACTTCTTGGGGGTCCTTACCAAGAGTCTATGAGTGCATACAGTGATAAAGGAAGTTTTACATAGTATGGTGGCTAAGCTAATTTGTTATGTTGGAGCTTTGATGGTGTCCTCATAGAAAAGCAGACTGCTCAAAATACAAACATTTAGTGGACAGAACCAGCTGTGCAGGCCGTGAGGCAGAGGAAGCAGCTAGACTTGGGACCGTAGACCTCAGCTACCCATAACTGTGTAGCAAGTTGCTTCTGGTTGCCTCTGACATGGGTGACAAAGAAGATGGATTAGTGGGCTGTGTGGTTTCTTCATGATCTGTTTGTGCCAGGTCAGGAGTGTTTGAGGGAGACGAGAGTGTAGGGGAATGCATTCAAGCTGCGGAATTGCAGAGATATCCTGACATATGGAGAAGCCAGGAAATACTTGGAGCCGCAATAGGACAGCTCTGGAAGGGTAGAGCCGCAATAGGACAGTACTTCTCCTGGAGAGCCGCTACAGCTGAGCTCTGCTTAAGGGAACATCCTAGCAGAGCTATGGGCTTTTTCTTCCACCTAAGATGTTACTTCTTTTGCTAACACGCTGCTAAAGAGGTAGCCGCTGCAGAAATGTAACAGTCTCTCTCCAGCTCCAGCTAAAAGTTGTTAATTTTTTCTACTTGCCTTGCTCAGCCGCCCCCGCAGTGAGCATCTCAGCAAGGATTTCCAGCTTAGTCCCCTAAGGGACATCCAAGGCAGGTTCTTCTATTCTGCGCCAGCCAATGAAGATCGTCAACTAAGACTCTTTTGAGAAAGAGATTTATTTAGGAAGGAGGAGTCCAGAAGAGTTTCTGAGCAACAACTTCTTCCAGGGAGAGATAAATGGCAGCCCATCATTGAACAGGAAGAGAGGTTTCTTAAGGGTGGCGTTTTCCCAGGGAGAAGAGGGATTGGTTCGTTTTTCCCTGCTCAGGGATTGGTTAGTTTAGTTGGTCAGGGGCAGAGATGGCTCTGACTTCATGGCCAAACTGTGTTTCTTTCTCTGGTCCTTTCTGTTTTTTTTTCCCTCTAATCTTAGTACCAGGGCATATTTCTTTCACTGGCCCTGATTCTAGGGACAAAGTGTGTTTGTTTGGCACTGATTTCAGAGTCAGGGCATGTTTCTATGGTCCTGGGTTCAAGGATGAAGATGTTTCTTTCCCTGGCTCAGGTCTTAGATACAGGCTGTGTTTCTTTCACTGGCTCTGGGTTCAGGGTCAGGATGCTCAGTGATTGGTTGGTTTCCTGCCCCAGTTGTCCCTTTTACCCTCCAGGGAGAGTGTCCACCTCACATTTCTGCTCAGGGACATCTATTCCGGAAGACTTGAGAAAAGATCTATCTCCATAGTGTGAGCAGAATCCTGGCAATCTCAGCACCACCGCAGACTTTCAAGGGCTCCAGCCACAGACAGTCACAGCAGAAGAGGAGGAAAAGGTGCCGTGCCCACGGACCCTCTAAGATGGCAAAACTGCGTCATGGTGAAAGTTGGCCAACAAGGCAACAAGTTGAGTAACGAGAAAAGGAGAAGTTGTGCAGGCACTGAATCCACACAAATCGGAAGGGCGGAGGACTAACCCAAGGGGGGTTCTTGCAGAAGGGAAATAAGTGTCACACATGTAAAACCTGCTGTGCTGACAGAGTCCGCCGCGAGAGAAGGCGGGGACACTCAGATGAGACGCTCTTCCCTCTCTAAATTTTTCTTATATTATTTTTAAAAATTCTCTTACAGCTTCACAAGTATATACAATGAATTTTGGTGATTTTCAGCACTATCACCCTTCCTCATCTCCCTTCCTGTTCCTACCTCTTTCTTTCTTTTTACCCTCTTTTTTTTTTTTTTAAACAAGGTTTTTCTATGTAGCCCTGGCTGTCCTGGACCTCCCTGAGTTTCACTATGTAGTCATGGAACGCACTCTGTAGACCAGGCTGGCCTCGAACTCAGAGATCTGCCTGCTTCTCTTGGGATTAATGGAGTGTGCCACCAGCTCCTTCTAAAGGGCCTTTCGCCATTCTCTTGAGCACATGTCCTCTCTCTCTCTGTGTATCTCTCTCTGTCTCTCTCTTTGTGTCTGTGTCTGTGTCTGTCCGTCTGTCTGTCTGTCTCTGTGTGTGTGTGTGTGTGTGTGTGTGTGTGTGTGTGCGTGTTTTCCATTGAATTTAGTTAGGATTGTTTGAATGTGGACTGAAGGCGAATTACTGGAACAAATAAAAAGCCTCCTCCCAACAAAGGCAGACTCCCTAGAGGTCCAACCCATGTCGTCAAGGAGACGATGCCAACAGGGGGTCTTTTCCCAAACAAAGTGCTAAGTGTGAGTTAGGGCTGTGGGCATCAGAGCCTGAGAGGATGAGAAGACTCCATGTTGTGGGCGTGGCACTCAGCTGAGGCTGGAGAGCTGGAAACAACTGTTTTCCACCTGAGCATTTGCCTTCCAAGCTTTCAGCCTCCTCCGTGGAGTTTAACCAGGTCTTTCTCATTTGGAAACTTGTATTTGGATGGTGTCTGGTACTCACACATTGAATAGATGCTTCTGAAGGAACAGGAGGAAAACTGAATGACCCAGTGTCGAGGCCGGCCCTAGAGGAGTCAACAGGGTGATGTGGGCTCGTGATTCCTGAGGAGATAGACGCCTTCGCCAGTTAACTCCCCATTTGGTCTCACTGGGTGGAGAAGGTGGAGAACAAAGACTTCAGGGACCATGACTGAGCTACGCCATAGGAACCCCATTAGGCGGCGCAGAGACTCAGTCGATGGCTCCATCTGTGTTTGGAATGCACTAAGTCACTGGTTGTGTTGACTATAAAGAAAATACGGTGTGTTCCATCCAATATGACAGTTGCCAACTTTTATGCCACTAGTTGAAGCTGCATTTCCCAGAGAGTTGGTCAAACACATGGCTGGTGGCCCACAGACTTGGGATGACAGGTGTCCTAAAGGAACTGGCGCCCTAAGAAGAAACATGACCTTTCCTTGTGTTTTCTACTTCCCTGGACACCATCAGAGGAAGAAAGGCCCAGGCAGGCACAGTAGGATGTTCTGAGAGAGGGACAACCTGAGGGGTTCCAGAACCTCAGCTGTCCATGCTGTAGAAGTGGGGAGCAGTCTGAGGGTGAGCCCACAGTACCCCAGAGTCATGATACTGCTGATCACAGTCATTGCTTGATATTCTTTTCTAGGCTGGGAGATGGCTCAGTCGATAAAATGTTTATCACAACCCATGGGTTTTTTGTGTTTAGTGTGTGTGTATGTGTTTTAAAGTTGAGGCACTTGTGTGTGCTTAGGATGGTAAGACAGGAAATGGAGGCAGGTAGGTCCCTGGAGTTCCCTGCTAGCTAGCTTGGCCTACTTGGCAAAGATACAGGTCATTGAGAGACTCTGTCTCAAACAATAGTGGAATGACACCTGAATTTGTCCTCTACATACACATATGTACTACAATGTGTAAACACACAACACACACACACACACACACACACACACACACACCAGAGAGAGAAAAAGAAAGAGTGGGGGGATTATTTCCTATGTACAGGGAGGTGTTTCTTTCTGTTTGCGGCATCAGAACTCTGGACCTTCCCCAGGCCGACTTCACCTCCCCCAGAGCACCTCTGAGGTCTGTTCACCCAGAGGACGGCACTGAGCATGCTCAGGATCAGGGGCAGCTCCAGAAAGACCAGGAGGTTGAAGTAGATGCTGCTCATCACGAACCTGCAGAAAATGAAGGAGACAGAAAGTGGGAAGTCACCTGGCACAGAGGGCTCAGTCTTCCTTGTGATCCTATTTCATCCTTCAATGGCCAGATAAGGACAAGCCTGGGGCACTACTAGGATGGGCTCCCTGCAAATGCATGGCTGCTCACGCTGCCTGCACGCTAACCACCTGCCCTGGGTGCTTTGCCTGGTGTCCCTCAGTTCCCCTTTGACCACTGTCCTCTCTGTTTGCCTGGTCTCTCAGAAGTCCTCCTCACCTAGTCTTCATTCCAGCCAGGCTGAGGGCTTCCCTGCTCCCTGAACTTTTGAGCTCAGCTTCTGCTACATTCTTCACCTGGATGATCCTGCCCAGCATCATCACTGTGTGGGAGCTGATACACATCTCAGGGGTCACACTACATCTAGAAATGGTTCATGATTGCAACCTCTCTGTCACATGAATCTACATTGGTATTGCACTTGAGACCAAAGACCCTGACAATAATGATCCCTCTTCTCCACCTCTCTGTCATCCTCATAACCCCACCCAGGTGTCCATCTCCTTTCTTGGACCATCCTCGGTTTCTTCTTTGGCCCAGCCGGAGGCCATCCTCAGCTCATGGAGAGTATCTACAACTGCAGGTCCTCCGTGAGTCACAGGTTAGCATAAACGTGTTCCTAGAAGATGGAAGAGCTGCCCTTGGCACAACGTGCATCAAATGTCCTGACCTGCCCCCCAGGACAGCGCTCTGTGCATGCTCCACACTCTCGTGGACTCTACATTTTTGGAGCCTCGCACCCTCTGTCTCTCCATGGCTAACACTCCATCGACTTGCAAAACAAACTAGCAGAAATACTTCCAAAGCCCCAGGAGAGAAAGAAAATTTAAAAACTAATCCTCAAGAGAAGCTACAAGGTAGGAAAGCTTTGAGGCATGTTTGTTTACCTTAAGATTTAGTAGGCAGAAAGAACACAGTAGAAGGAAGAGAGCAATGACCTCTGCCTTCACTGTAGGGGGGAGAAGAAACTTGTGGTTTAGCTGTGTCCTTGACCTGGGGACTTGACCCTAACAGGCTGGGATGGAATTGTGCCAAGGTAGCTGTATGTGCTGGGAGTTGCTCTGGACACCTTCAGGAGTGACGAGCATCACACTGTCACAGCACGGTCCTCAGATTCCCACGCTCCTTCTCTGCACTCTGTAGACCCCCACACTGGCTCTTGGCAGAGTTGCATTGGAACAATGGGATTTATTTAATGGGCTAGAGCCAGAAGGTAGTTAGAGAGGAATCTCTCTAACTCAGAGGAGACCGAACTGTGGCCCTCTGTCCTGCTCTGTAGGGAACACATGGGGAGACACCAAGTACCAGGCTCGGTCTCTTCTCCACTCAGATGAAGATGCTACCTTCCTGTAGCTGAGGCTTAGAAGGGAAGTCTTGGTAAACTAAAAGGTAAAAGGATTGGGGAGCCCACCTCAGGCTTTGTCATGAGAATCCAGTCACTTGAGTGTCTCTATAAGATAGTTACTGAGTCTAGCAAATAAAATTACAAAATGACCAGGCCAATCTGGAATTCAGATAAGCGACTTTTTAAAAATTATAAATATAGCCATGTAATGCTGGGATAACTTAGGCTAGAAATTAACTGTTTTGTGGATCCTAGGAGTCCTGGGCATCTTGTGTTTTGTCTGGAAGCTCTCCCAGGCAAGAGGCCATAAGGATACCCCAGTGGGAAAGAGCTGCCAGGGTCCAGCTCTACTTACCAGGTGAGGGTGCTGGTTTGAATCTCTCCATGGTTGGCAATGCTCTCCCTTGTTGTCTGTGCGGATGTCAGAACTGGAGCCATGGTTGTTAATATTATAGTTGTAGTTTCTGGGGCTAAAGATATAAACAGAAACAAGGGTCACTCCTCCTGAGGTCAGCCCAGCTCTGGGCATGGCCTAAAGCTGTTCTCACTAGGAATTAAATAGCTTTCTCTGCAGTCACCACCCAAAGCTTTACACTAATTTTTCTCTAAAGAAAGATGATGTATGCTTACACCTGCCAGAATGGCTAAAATCAAAAACACCAATGATAGCCTTTGCTGGAGAGGTTGTGGAGAAAGGGGTACACTCATCCATTGCTGGTGGGAATGCAAACTTGTGCAACCACTTTGGAAAGCAGTGTGGCGGTTTCTCAGGAAATTCGGGATCAACCTACCCCTGGACCCAGAAATACCACTCTTGGGAATATACCCAAGAGATGCCCTATCATACAACAAAAGTATATGCTCAACTATGTTCATAGCAGCATTGTTTGTAATAGCCAGAACCTGGAAACAACCTAGATACCCTTCAACAAAAGAATGGATGAAGAAAGTATGGAACATATACATATTAGAGTACTACTCAGCAGTAAAAAACAATGACTTCTTGAATTTTGCATGCAAATGGACGGAAATAGAAAACACTATCCTGAGTGAGGTAAGCCAGACCCAAAAAGAGGAACATGGGATGTACTCACTCATATTTGGTTTCTAGCCATAAATAAAGGACATTGAGCCTATAATTCATGATCCTAGAGAAGCTAAATAAGAAGGTGAACCCAAAGAAAGACATATAGTCATCCTCCTGAAGATTAACTTTCATCAGGCAATGAAAGCAGACAGAGACAGAGACCCAAATTGGAACAACAGACTGAAATCCCAAGGTCCAAATCAGGAGCAGAAGGAGAGAGAGCACGAGCAAGGAACTCAGGACCGCGAGGGGTGTACCCACATACTGAGACATTGGGGATGATTTATCGGGAACTCAACAAGGCCAGCTGGACTGGGTCTGAAAAAGCATGGGATAAAACCAGACTCGCTGAACATAGTGGACAATGAGGGCTGCTGAGAAGTCAAGATTCAATGACACTGGGTTTTGATCCTACTGCACGTACTGGCTTTGTAGGAGCCTAGGCAGTTTGGATGCTCACCTTACTAGACCTGGAAGGAGGTTGGAGGTCCTTGGGCTTCCCACAGGGCAGGGAACCCTGATTGCTCTTCGGGCTGATGAGGGAGTGGGACTTGATTGGGGGAGGGGGAGGGATATGGGAGGCGGTGGAGGGGAGTAGGCAGAAATCTTTAATAAATAAATAAATAAAAGATGATGCATGGGCTGGAGATATGGCTCAGCGGTTAAGAGCACTGATTGCTCTTCCAGAGGACCCGGGTTCAATTCCCAGCACCCACATGGCAGCTCATGACTGTCTGAAAATGCAGTTCCACAAGATCTGACACCTTCACACCAATGCACATAAAAAATAAAAAGTTAAATAAATCATTTTTTAAAAAAAGAAAGATGATGGACAGGCAGAGCAGCAGCTCCTCTTTCAACACTCGCTTCCTCAGGGCTCACTCATCACTGTCTGGTGTGCAGTAAGCAGAAAAAACTCAGTTTTGCATGTTTCATGTATTTTTTGAAAATCTTTATTTATATGTGGATGGGTGTTTGCTTGCCCATGACTATGTGCACCATGTGCCTGTGGTGACCATGGAGACCAGAAGAGGCCATCAGATCCCCTGGGACTGGAGTTGAAGATGACTGTGAGTTCCCCTAAGATGCTGAGCACTAAACCCAGTTCTGGGAAAGTAGCCAGTGCTCTTAACCACTGAGCCATCTCTCCACCCCATTTTTGTCTATATTCTTGATTGTAGTTGTTTAAACAGACACAAATCTAATCCTCATGACTCTATCTTAACCAGAAATGGAGTTTCTGTGGTTTCCATTATTATTTCTTGTTAAAGGGGTAGAGGTTGGGAGGGGGGTCCTCAGGATGGGAGTTTAGCTCAGTGGTAGAGCACTTGACTAGCACACATGAGGCTCTGAGTTCAGATCCCAGATCTGTACAAGTGAGAACATGCAAGGCACACATGTGGGGGCAGGAAGACAAGGCCTTCCCACTCCACCTTGTATCCCGGTAGAAAACAGGACCAATAGAGTAGACTGTGTTTACGTTCTCCAGTCAGATTTTACAGCAATGAATGCAAGGCCCCCAATTCCTCAAACCAGCCATGATATTCTGGAATATTTTTCCTTACCTGGGTCAATGTTCACATTAACTTTAAAATTCGGATCATATCCACTTCTCTCAATTGCACACCAGTAAACGCCGCCGTCGCTTATCCTCAGCTCCTCCATGGTCACTGTCACGGTGAAGTCTGTCTGGTCGTCCCTGATGGACACACGGTCCTTCTTCACCAACTGCTCCATATCCGTTTTAACCAGAGTCTCACATGCATTCCAATCAGCTCCTCGGCACCAGTACTTCTTGTAATCCTTCCAGGAGGAGTCATAACGGCACTGCACAGTCAAGGAGCTCTGCTCATGACCGCTCACCATGTTTGGACCTGTGATTGCATCCTGAGCAGTGGAGCAGCCTGGAAAATACAAACCCATGGACCACTGATCTCCCACTCCAAGGGCAGGGCACAGTGCCAGTTCCAAAGAGAGACACAACTCAGCAACAACAATCACTGAAGGGCTACCCCTTTCCCAAAATCATCCGCTTGGTCAAATTCTCAAAACTTGGCAGAAGAGCCTAGTCACGGGTCTCAGAAGTTAAAATGGTGACATTGAGCAATCATGGCTTCCTGCCATCCACCCCTCTTCATACTGTATGCCCAATAAAAGAATATTTCAAAGGATCTTTTTTGCAACCATCTTTGTGTTTTCCTGGAGCAGAGGAAGTATCAGAAGACTTTGTCCACAGGACATGATCCTGCCTTTATTTCAGTACCCATGACCCTCAGGAGGTCCATCTGAAGAATCACGTCCTATGGCCATGCAGAGGCCACCTCGGGTAGTCCAGCAGTCTCTAGGGGTTCTGTAGGGGACCATCTTAGATAAATGCCTTGGAAGCTGACAAAATGTCCCCAACCATTCGGATCTCTGTGTGATACAGAGCCCACAGCACACAGACCCTGTTCTCTCTTTTAGATCCACGTAAATCTGAGTTCCCAAGCTCCCAGTAAGGGCTGCGGAGGCAGCTTAGTAGGTGGGAAGCTTATATAGCATGCAGAACACCAATCAATAACAAAAACCTGCTTTAAAATGCTAAAAGAAGAGCTTCAGAGTATTAGCTTCAAGAACAACAACATATGTTCCCAATGGCAGAGGTAAAAAACCAAATATTGCTAAATGTAATTATTTCAGACTAAAAGGACTCAACCAACAGAGCGAAGAGACACCTTCCAGCAGGGGAGAACATCTTTTCAGACTTTGCATCTGACAGGAGGTCAATTTCCAGACTATATGAGCACAAACTCAGCTCAAAGAGTCCAACGGCAATCATAATCCTATTGAAAATGATCTACTGAGGGGCTGAGGAGAGAGGGTAGCCAACGAAACACCTGCCATGTAAGCCTAGGCACGAAGAACCTGAGTTTGTGTCCCCAGCATCCATGTACAAAGTCAGGAGTGCTGGTGTGTTCCTGCAGCCCAACACAGCGGTGGTCAGAGGAGACAAGGGATCCTGGAAGCTCCATGGCCATCCAAGACAGCTTCAGTTTCAGCGAGGAACCATATCTCAAAAAATAAAGGTGGGAGTAGGGCATGATGGTACATGCTTCAATTGCAGCATCCAGGAGGCAGAGGCAGGCAGATCTCTGTGAGTTCAAGGCCAGCCTGGTTTACATAAAGAGTTGTAGGCCAGCCAGAGCAATGTAGTGAAACCCTATGTCAAAAATAAAGTTATATTTAAAAAAGGCGGGGAGCAATTAAAGAATGGCACCCAGTTTCTTGACCTCAGGCTTTCATATGCGTGCATACCCATGTGCAGGTGCACACACACACACACACACACACACACACACACGAGCAATGAACCGAGCACACAGTTCTCAGGAGATCTTGTCTATTTCCCCTTCCTAAGGGGATCTATGTATGTGTCTCTTAGGGTTCTCCCTGTTACTTAGCTTCTCTGGGGTTGTGGACTAAAGGCTTGTTATCCTTTGCTTTACAGCTAGTATCCACTTATAAGTTTGTACATATCATGCTCATCTTTCTGGATCTGGGTTACCTCATTCAGGATTTTTTTTTCTAGTTTCATCCATTTGCATGCAAATTTCAAGATGTCTTTTTTTTTTTACCACTGAGTAGTACTTCACTGTGTAAATATGGCACATTTTCTTTCTCCATTCTTCGATTGAGGGACATTTAGGTTGTTTCCAGGTTCTGATTATCGCAACTAATGCCGCTATGAACAAAGTTAAACAAATGTCCTCGTAGTATGATCAAGCATCCTTTGGGTATATGCCCAAGAGTGTTATTACTGGTCTTGAGGTAGGTTGATTCCCAGTATTCTGAGAAACCATCATACTGATTTCGAAAGTGGTTGTACAAGTTTGCGCTCCTACCAAGAGTGGAGGAGTGGGAGCGCACAGTTCTCAGAGGAGATACAAATGGTCAATAAATACACAGAGAAGTGCTCTAATTCACTGTCAGGGAGATAGATGCGAATCTGAACCATAGAGAGCCATCATCATCATCCCCCAGTCATTACGGCTATTACCAAAAGGACAAGATATAACAACCGTAGAAGTAGAAGTGCATGTGGGACAGGGAGTCTCACACGCTGTGCATTGTGATGTAAATGAGAGACCTGTGGGAAACAGTATGGAAGTCCTCAGAGAAGCATAGGACTGCCACATGATACAGTAACTGCTCTAGGAGGCGGGGAGAGGGGGAGTGTTAAATAGCCTGCACTGGTTACCTTTGTCAGCTTGACAGCATCTGGGGGCATGCAGAAAGACAGTGCCTCTCTTGTCTTTTTCTACTTCTTATGTAAATTAGATCTATGTATGTCTCTCTTAGTGTCTTAAAGACAAGATCTCCTAAGTAAACTGGGAGCATGGGGACCTTGGGAGAGGGCTGAACGGGAGGGGAGAGGCAGGGAGGGGAGCAGAGAAAAATGTAGAGCTCAATAAAAATCAATTAAAAGAAAAGAAAAAAAATGCCTCTCTATCAGGTTGGTCTGTAGACATGTCTGAGGAACATTTTCTTGATGTGGGAAGGCCTAGCCTACTGTGGGTGACGTCCCCCCTGTAGTATAAGAGAGCAGGCTGAACAAGCCTTGGGGAGTAAGCCAGGAGGCAGCACTGCTCCAGGGTCTCTGCCTCAGTTCCTGCCTCCAGGTTCCTGCCCTGCTTGGGCTCCTGCTCTGGCTTCCCTCGTTGATGAATGGTGATCTGGACATGTAAGTCAAACCTTCTCCTCCCCTAGCTGTTCTTGACCATGGCCTGTATCAGAGCAATAGAAAGTAAGCACACAGCCCAGAGGGTGAAGTGAGCCTGCTAGAGACATCCTGCCTTGTGTTTCCTGCAGCAGAGTTCACAGCAGCCATGACACAGCATCAGCTTAGATGTGGATGGACGGATAGTAAAGTGTGCTACAGAAATGCAACGGAATAGCATAGTAGAGGATTGAATTCCATCATTTGCAGCCCACAGATGGAATTGGAGGAAGTGAAATAATTCAGACACAGAAAGAGACTACCGCACGGTTTTATTTATATGAGGAAGCTAGAACGTAATTCTCTGGGGCTAGGAACATGGGGAGATGGACAGGTCAGCGAAGTGTTTGCTGCATAAGCAGGAGACCTGAGTTTGGATCCCAGAACACACGAGAACATCCAGGTGATGTGAGATGTGTCTGTAGCCATGAGAGCTGTGGAGTCAGTGCAGCAGGATCCCTGGGATTACTGGTCATGTAGACTGAGTCCGTGAACTCCAGGCTCAGAGGGAAACCCCGTCTTAACAAACAAGTTTGAGAGTGAGAAAGGTACCTAATGCTCATCTCTGGTTTCCACATGTACATATGTGTGTTGCAGGGTGAGGGCCCGCTTATTTGTCCAGGCCGTCCAGCTAGCTTAGCCCCGAAACAACCACACAGAAACTATATTAATTAAATAACTAGCCCATTAGCTCTAACTTCTTATTGGCTAACTCTTACGTATTAGTTTAACCCATTTCTATTAATCTGTGTATCGCCACGTGGCAGTGGCTTACCAGGTAAAACTGTAACCAGCATCCATCTCAGGCGGAGGATCCATGGCTTCTCTCCCTGACTCTGCTTTCTTTCTTCCAGAATTCCATTCTGTTTCCCTCCACACACCCGCCTAGCTCTGTTCCCCTCTAGCTCTGCTATAGGCCCAAAGAAGTTCCTTTATTAACCAGTGAGAGCAACAAATAGAAGGACCTCCTACACCATATGTGTACCCACACATATGTACCTGAGCACACACATACGCACATGCGTTCACCTCACAGACATATTTTTTTCAAAAGGAGCAAAATCTGACTTCAGAAAAGTGGTGAACAGAGTAGAGAATAGAGAAGATATCAGATGCTTCTAGCACAAAAAAAGTGACAAATCCTTGTGACAGAGGGCAGCCACCATGACCTGACTGCCACATCCTGTACACACGTGCAAATGCCACATGGTACTGTAGTGATATTTTATTATATTTTAATAAATAAAGCTTGCCTGAAGGTCAGAAAAGCAAAGCAGTCAGCCACTGGCTCTTACCTCTCAGTCTGTAATGGCAATCCCGCCTCCAGGAATCTCAGAATGAGACTAACTGAGAGCTGTCTCCTCCAGTCTTATATTCCTCTCTAGTGCTGGGATTAAAGGCATACACCACTACAGCCCAATTTCTAGGGCAACTAATGTGGCTACTGGGATTAAAGGTGCGTGTCACCACTGCCTGGTCTGTAAGGCTGACCAATGGGGCTGTTTTACTCTCTAATCTTCAGGCAAGCTGTATTTATTAAAGTACAAATGGAGTATCACTACATTACACCCTATCAGTTTCTTTTGCTTTATGAGACAGGTCTCCCTATGTAGACCAGACTGTCCTTGAACTCACTGTGATGTCTTAAAGCCCCAGCTACTTACCTGTGAGGAAGAAGAGCAGAGCAGCCAGCAGCCACATGATCCTGTCTTCTCTCCTGTCCTTGGTGGTGACAGAAACTAACACCCTGCAAGAACTTGAAGCTCAGCTTGAATTTTCTTTAAATCATTCACTTCCTTGACAATTTCTCAATTTTGCACATTTCACAAAAAGAGGATTTGAAAAGATCAAGTCCTTGCATGTGTGGTACAGCTGGATGAATGGGGAACTTCCTCCACTAGACAGATGCAACGCTAGATCTGAACTTGAAAGGTGGATGGGACTCCCGAGGGGAGACACAGATAGACAGGGCAGCAGTGGCAGATTAAAAAATACGGAACACAGCAAACCCCTCTTCTCATCTGGGACATGAGTGACTTTCAGGGGATCATGGGAGAGAAGAGCAGCCGAAGACAGAGTGACCGCAGTAGCAAGGGAGTGCAGGGTATCCCAGGCTAAGCCCAGGATGGTGAGAAGCACAGCTAAAGGCTCAGCCTGGGGCAGCGCTGCTATGAACCCCAGAGCAGGGATTTCTCTGGCCAAAGACACCCGTCACAACACTACTAGAGTCCCAAGTGCTGGTTCCAAGAAAGAGGGAGAGTTTGGGTTTGAGACAAGGTCTCATGTAACTAAATCTGACCTTGAACTTCTTCCACCACCAAGCTCAGTTTTATGAAGGTCTGAAGACTGAAGGTTTCAAGCATACTAGCAAGCGCTCTACCCAATGAGCTGTATCTACAACCCCTTGTTTGGTTTTTCCAAGACAGAGTTTTGCTGTATAGTTCAAGTTGACTTCAGACTCTCTCTCTCTTTCCAGTGTCAACCTCCCAAATTGTGGGAATCTACAGTTGGTTTAAATCTTGAGGACCAGTTGTATGGATGGATATAGATACAGTGTATCCCTGGCATCAAATTCACGGGAGGAAGTTTTTAAGTAGACACACACACAAAGAGAGACAGAAAAAGTTAGAGACAGGCAGAGACAGAGTTAGAGACAGCGACAGGCACACAAGGGGAATGCTTATGATGGCCAATCTTCATTGTCAGCCTGATTAGATTTGAAATCACCCAGGAGACCGCCCTATAGGTGTCTCTGTGAGGGTGTGCACAGAGAAGCTTGAATGGGGAGGGACAACCAACCCTGAATGTAGGCAGTTCTAAAACCTAGACTGAGGTCCATAAGATACTTCTTGAAGGAAAGATTAAGAGCCACACTGCCATCTGCTGGCTGAAACTGTCCCAGAACACGATGGAGAGTGTGTCAAGGTGCCGGCTTTAGTATTACCCGGCACCTTGACACGGACACACTTTGACACAGACCAAGACCAATTGAAATGAATAGAGTGGGGGATGGTCGGGTGGGCACTGAGCCAAGAGATCAACTGATAACGGGTGGCTGACTTAGTTTTTAGGGTTAGTTTTTGGGAAAAGGATATATGTAAATCAATGGAGAGTGTGTCAAGGTGCCGGCTTTAGTATTACCCGGCACCTTGACACGGACACACTTTGACACAGACCAAGGAAAATTGATTCTGATGAGCAATGGGAGTGTTAAAGACTTTGCAGCCAGGACAGTAAACTGCTACAGAAAAGGATCTTAATCTAGGATGCTCCCATTGCCTATCATAAGGACAACAAGGCTCTCCGGCTCCCACCTGGAGAGCATGCTGGGCATGTGAGCCAAGGTGCCAGCTGTGTATGAAGGAGGACTATGAACCCTCCAAACATCCTGCTCACGGGTACACCAGGGGTTGGAAAAACCACACTGAAAAACCACACCAGCAAAGAACTTGCATCAAGATCAGGACTGAAGAGCATTAATGTGGGTGACTCTGATCACTGGATATCACGGAGTCTGACAGGATGGCTTCTCCCACGAGCGTGCGCAGAGAAGCACAGGTGTTGGTACAGTTCCCCAAGGGACTGGGGATTACAGAATATGAGCCGAGAGTTACAAATCAGATGTTGGAGCTTGCCTTCTGATATATGACCACAATTCTGGATGATGCTAAAGTGTATCCCAGCCGTGCTAAGAAAGCTGCTATTGATACAGATGCTGTGTGATCGGCAATCCAGTCCCGGGCCAATCAGCCTCTCCCTTCTCCTATCAGGAGAGATCTTTTATTAGATATTGCAAGACAAAGAAATCAAACCCCTTTGCCATTGATCAAGCCATACTCAGATCCTAGATTGTTTCCTGACATCTATTGCTTAACTGCCCCAATCTATAGGTTTAAGTCGTTACAGAAAAAGGCACCTACTCCTGCAGGAAGAATAATCATTCCATGGGGAAGTGCTAGTTCAGTTCCTAGCAGACCCAGTACTCCCATGCTAGGCACACCAACTCCACAAACCATGTCTGTCTCAACTAAAGAAGGCACCCTAATGTCCCTCACAGGACAAAGGTTTACAGTACAGATCCCTCTTCACAGTCTCCTTGGTCCCCAGCTGTGAAAGCTTCAATTCCCGCAGCCCTGGCAGTTCAGAATGTTCTGGCTAATCCATCATTAATTGGGTCCAAGAACATTCTCAATACTATGAATATGGTATCACAAAATACAGCCAATGGGTCCACAAACGCGCTTGAAAGAAAACGTGGAGATGATGCTGACGACTACGAAGATGATGCTGACTGTGATTAAGTTATAATCTAGCCTTGATGCATGCAACATGTATACTTGGTCTTGAATCCATTGTACTGAGATCAAACAAGTATGTTATATGTTTTAAAGTTGTATTTTAGAAAATGGTATTTAATAAGTATACTTACTATGCTTTACAATTGAAATGCTCAGTTTTTTATTTTATATATTTTTTAAATTTTTTATTGCTTTGTAAATAATGCCATTCAAAATTTCCACTTCCTCCCGTCCTCCCATTTCCCTCCCGCTCCCCCACTCACCCTCCTCTCTCCCCCTCCAGTCCTAAGAGAGGGCAAGGTACCATGTCCTGTGGGAAAAGAAAACAAACTACCTTTTTTTCATTTTACACACCAATCCCAGTTCCCACTCCCTCCCCTCCTCCCATTTCTTCCATCTTCCCCCCAACACCCCCATCCACTCCCCAGAGAGGGGAAGGCACATTGCTCCGAGGAAGGACTAAGGCCCTCCCCACTATATCCAGGCTGATCAAGGTATCCATCCAAAGAGAAATGTGTTCCAAAAAGCCAGTACAAACAACAGGGGGCAAATCCTGGTGCTACTGCCAGTGGCCCAGCCATACAACTGTCATCCACATTCGGAGGGTCTAGCTTGGTCCTATGGTGGTTCCTTCCCTGTCCAGCTGGAGTTGGTGAGCCCCCATTAGCTCAGGTTAACTGTTTCAGTGGGTGTCCCCATAATGGTCTTGACTTCTTTGCTCATATTCTCCCTCCTCCCACTCTTCCACTGGGTTGGGAGCTCAACCCAGTGCCCCGCTGTAGGTCTCTGCCTCTGTTTCCATCAGCTGCTGGATGAAGGTTCTATGGTGACTTTAATATATTCATCAATTTGACTACAGAGCAAGGCCAGTTCAGACACACTCTCCACTATTGCTTAGGGTCTTAGCTGGGGTCAACCTTGTGGATTCCTGGGAATTTCTCAAGTGCCAGGTTTCTTGTTAGTCCCATAATGGCTCCCTCAGTCAAAATGTCTCTAAACAAGTAATAGTTTTTCATAAACTTTTATGCATAAAAATTTAAATTGTCATATATATATATAAAGACCTGAATGTGTGACACTGTGGGCCTAGTCACAAGACAGGCAGAAGAGCTGGCTCTGCCCTGCTGACATGTCCCCACATTGTCCCCTCAGTCCCATCTGTGCACCTTAGATGTTAGCCCCCATGCCTGCTGGGGCACCATATGGCCACAGGCATCTATCCACGCTCTGAAGTCTCCTTTTAGTCAGAGGTCACAGACTAGCTTCTGAGGTTCTGCATGGATTGACAGACACGTTCTGTTTTGCCCACAACAATTTAAGGGAAATTTGTTGTCTGTGTAAGTTCCACTGTGGAAACTCTGTCCTTGGTCCAGAATCCATATTTTGGTGGCTTCATCTTTCCCTGGGTTCTAGGTAATGTCACAATCCTCTCCTTAAATGTGTTTGACTGGTTATTGTTTGTTTGTTTGTTTTGACAAAAAAACAAAAACTATCCTGGAAAGATGGTGGGCTTAACAAACACTATTGAAACATTTGGATACCCACATGCTAGAAAACTCCATGCCTAGAACTGCTCTCCTCTGTACTAACTAAGAAATCCAAAATAAATCACAATTCATGAGCTCCAATGATAGATAAAAAGCTACAAAACTCAGGTCTGTTGGCTACTAATCTAGCTAAAAATGGTGAGCTCCATTGGATAGTCCACTTGCTCCTGAACCAGAGCCACTTGTTGGTTCAAGGTCAATATGCCCAATTGAATATGTCCATTAAGACCATTTTGAATGTCCAAAGCATTGCTGACTCTTTCAGCCTGCTGGTTGACAGTCTCAGCCGTCTGCACAGTCTGGGAAAGAGCAATTCTGACAGCAGTATCTGTGGTAGCAGAGATAGCAATAATGGCAGTCACAGCTGTGGTGATTCCAAGGTCTCTCTCCTGCCGATCTTCTATGGTCCAGCACTTGTTGCCATATTTGCTGATACTCCTGACACTGCCGTGGTGTCCCCCAGGCCGGGCACCCGACTGGGCCAGGGCAACATGCATTTCACCACAGCCACCTATCAAAGCTCTGCTCCAGCTGCTCTGCTCCTGCTCTGGAACCATTGAAGGGGCCCCACTTTAACAATCTTTTAGGGAATTTGAGCATTGTCAACCTGTCTGGCTACTTCCTGCTGAACGGGGGTGCTGCATTCTTGGGGGTATTTTACATCAACATTTCATGGGGTCTCGGTGAATCAAACCAGATAAATTTGCAATGAATCCACAGGTTCTCATCCTCTGTGGAGACAAAAGCAGAACCTCTTTTCCAAAGCATCAAATCCTTAGGCCCATATTTTAATGTCAAAATACCTTTCTTAGCACTTCCCAGAATCAAATGTCTTTCTCCAGTCCAGAACACAAAAGACAACACAGTCAACACAATAGCATACATCTCTACACATTCTATCTTCTGAGGCCCTCAAT